TCAATCTTGATCTCATTATATAGCAATGCTTAAATACACTATGGAAATCTTTCTAAACACTAATTTCTATCAATTCTTATATCTACGCCTCTGTCAACGCCTCTGTCAACGCCTCTGTCAACGTCTCTGTTAACGCTTCTGTCAACGCCTCTCTCAACGCTTTTATCAACGCTTGCAAACACCAACTCCACTCATCAACCCCCCCTCCCCCCATTGTTCTATCCCATCATCTCTCCATCACTGCATCTCACCTCGACTCCATGTGGGGTAAATCCGGGGTAGGCGCTGAATGCGCTGATAACGACATGGCACAACAAACAGCGGCCACTCATCCGGGCAATACATGCTATTTGCACTGGGAACACGCTACTTTATGTGTAATGCACTTTCAATTAATGCCGAAGAGATCATATCTACTCTTTCCCGCTCTATCCTGCCTTCTTATCTAGTAAATATACATGCTGCTCTTATATCCCATTCCCACTTTATATTTAAATCATGAATGAAATCATCATTGCTAATAACACCCCCCTCATCACATTCCACCCACTCATCCTCAGCCCCTCACTTGGCTTCACCTCACCTGCTTCATCCCCCTCTCCTGTCGTGCACTTCGTAGGCTTACACCGCCTCGTCGAAGTCAACGTTATTCTTGATGTGACTGTGGAAGTAGTCGTAGAAGTGCTAGTATGGGTCGATGTCTTTGTGACCCATGTGTCTGTCGTTTGCAGAGTTTGGCAGTCTGTTGCTTTTGGATCTGTAACGGTTGTTGTTGTCGTCGTTGTAGTTGTGGTTGTTGTTGTTACGTTTTTAGTTGTTGCTTCGTATGGTTTCACTTCCAGTGGTTTCAATCCATGACATTTACTCTCTATTGTTTCGCATGGATTGACACAGTCACACTCTTTTTTAAATCCACATCCCTTTAGTAAATCATGGCATATCTCTCTCAATTCTACATAGAGTCCAAATGCTTGTGCTACCAAATCAAATGCTTTTGCTTCGTCTTCTGTTACTTTCACTGTTGCATCTCTTCTTATAAGTCTAAACGGTTTTGTATCTTTTCCACTAGGTACGGCTGGTGCACTAGGCACAACTTCGTTTTCCGATTTATTGTTTTCTACTTTTTCTTTTGATAAAACAAGACTTGCTTTTTTCATTGCATCTTCTGCTTTTTTTTTGATATCCTCATATTCGCTAGTTTTCTTTTCCAGCTCTTTACTGGCCTCTGCAAGTTTTTTCTGTAATCCAGAACATTGCTTTTTTACTTGTTCTACTAATTTCTTGCAAAGCTCTTCCCTAACTTGATTATCCCCTTTACCATTTTCTTTGCACAAAGTTTCAAGCCCATTACTTGCATTCGCCCATTGTGTGCAGTATTTGTCAAGTTCATCCTTACATTTTTCTTTTGTGACCAAATGACCCTTTAATTGATCAACTACTTTCAATTCCAATTCCTTCTTTTCGGTGAATGATTTACACTCCTCACTAAGCTTTTCACACTCTCCGCCACCAGCAGTCGTTAGATTCTGGCAACTTGACATGAATTTTCTGCAATAAGGTTCCCAAGAATCACATGTTTCTTCCATTGTTTTTTCTCCTTTTGCTGCTTCTACAACATTACTTTTTTTCATACGTGCCTTCAATATAATACACTTAGATTTTACGCTTTTTGTAAGAATTTTGCAAGTAATATTCTGTGCTACACATGCAAGAGCAAACTGTGTTCTTCCTTTTCTGTTCCATTCATGACATTGTTCTCCCAAATTTTTTAAACATGAATCGAACTTATCCAAATCCTTCACCTTTCCTTCCAAGAACCTCTCTTCCAATTCTTCTGCAATATTTAGTCTATTGCAATGATGCTCTAGCGTATGACAAGGCCATTCAAGTTCCTCAAAATCTTGTTTTAGATCGTCGCATTTCTTTCGCAATTCTTTGCAATCCTTCTTCGTAGGAAAATCTCGTTTTTCATTCAAATCTTCCTGCAATAAGTTTGTCTTCATATCTAAATCATTTAATAATGTAACGGCCCCGTCTTTTGGTTGCGTGCACAAGACAAATAAGTGGTCGCTTTTTTCTTTCAGACCCAGACATACCTTTACTAGCTCCTTTTGAATATTAAGCAATGTATCATTTGTATCATGAAATTTCCCTTTCATTTTGTCTTGTAATGCTTGATTTGCTTGTGATTCAAGTCCTTTTTTATAACACGCTGCTTTTAAGTTATCACATTCTTTGTCAAGAGGACCTTGACCTTTAAAATAAAAACAGTCTGATAATAATCTTGTACAGTCTCTTTCAGTAAGAAATGTCTTTAATTCATGCCAAGTAACAATTTTATTTTGCTGAGTTATAAAAAGACGTTTGATTATTTTTTCAGAGACAATTCGAGCATGTTCTGTTAATTCTTGACCTAATTCATTACATTTTTTGGTTCCATTTGCATTAGCATCATTGTTATCTCCACATAAGCCCTTTAAAATTTTATGCTCTTTCAAATCTTTGCATTTTTCTTTAAGAACCTCTTTGCATTTTTCTTTATTATCACTTCTACTTGAGACACTTTGATGCTGAATTAACAATGCCAAGAGTGTAGTTACATCTTTTCTAGGAGGTCTTCTAATATGAATCCCTTCTTCTTCTGCTTTTTCATAGAGATTTTTTAGATTCACTTTTTCTGCCAATGTAGTTTCCGGTTTTGTAGGATCAAAATCTAAATTTGATGCAGTGTAAATAATATTTTTACATTTTTTTACTAGTTTTTTACAACCCGGGCTATATTTTCCTTTGCAACTTAAGTTGTAATAGTGACACTTTTCAAGCAAAAAATGACATTTCTTTTTTGACTCATCATCATCTTTTAGTCCTTCGATTTCTGTTTTAAGAGACTGGCAATTAGTGTCTTTCAACTGCAGTAGATTGGTACATGTCTCTTCTTGGTAAAAACATAATTTTGTTAATTCGTCACTTTCTTCAATTAATTCTAAGCAAACTTTTTTGAGTTCCTCTTTACATTTATTTTGATCTTCAAGACTTCCACTAAGTGCCCTTAAAAGTGCTTTTTCTGCCACTTCCTCACGCTTTTTTTGATAACACTTATTTCTTAAAGTGTTGCAATTTTCTGTAAGAACATTAGAACATGCTCCCTCCAAAAATAGGCATTCTTGTTCATTCTTTCTGCATTCATCGCCTGCTGGCGATGGTTTTGCCACTATAGTATCCAAAGCTGTTTTAAGTGTTGTACATTTTCCTGTAATTTTAGTTTTTAAATCTTTGCATTTCTTGTCTTTATTATTGCAGATATCTTTTAGTTTTTTGTCTACTTTTTCTAATTTTGCATCTACTTCCTTTAGTCCATTACAGTATTTTTCTAGAGTATCTTTGCATTTTTGAGTATCGTCATAACTTTTTCCTACAATTAAAGCCAAAAGATAGTCCTCATCATCATATACACTAGCTTTCTGCACTGCTTGTACCTGCCGCTTAACCGCCCGCGCCACCGCCCGCGCCAAGCTGTGCCTGACGGGGGTGGGTTTGCACTGTGGTGTGGCTTGAGTTTGAGTTTCCATTAGCGTATTTTGATTGAACGTGAGATGTTAGAACCATGTCTTCAAATTTGAGTATTAAATTATTTCTAATTAATTTTAAGGGTGTTCAAGTAAACTTAGTGATAAAACTTGTCAGAGAAGCAGTGTGTACCAAATACATTTAAAGGTGCCCGCTTTTAACGTGTAGTTGGCTACTTCGCGATATTTTAAATTTGTGTGGGGTAAATGCGGGGTAAATGTGGGGTAATAGTAAAATTTGAATAAATAAAAAGTAGAATGTAAAAGGACATAAATGAGAAATAAAGGTTATTTAGATAAAGAATAGTGGTCAATTAAATAAGGAACACGCGATTTCATGTGTAATGCACTTTCAATTGATGCTGAAGAGATGACTCAATCTACTTTACTCTTTCCTGTCCTACCCTGCTCGTTTATTTACTAAATATACATGCTTATCATTAAATCCTATTCATTTACTTTTTAAATCATTATTGAAATCATCATTGCTAATATCACCCCCCTCATCACGCTCCACCCACTCATCTTCAATCCCTCATTCGGTTTCACGTCTTCTGCATCATCCCCTGTCGTACACTTGGTTGGTTTGCATCGCCTCGTTGATGTCAATGTTATTTTTGATGTGATTGTAGATGTGATGGTAGATGTGCTTGTGTGTGTCGATGTCTGTGTAACCCATGTGTCTGTTGTCTGTAAGGATTTGCATTCTGTTGCCTTCGGATCGGTAACGGTTGTTGTTGTCGTTGTGGTCGTCGTTGTGCTTTCTGTGACTATTTCGTGCGACTTCACCTCCAGAGGCTTCAGATCACGACATGTCTTCTCAATCTTTTCACACACATCTTTTAAATCATCACAATCGTCTTTAATCCCGCAATCTGAGGCCAATTTCTCACATCTTTCTTTCAAGTCTACATATCTTCCAAACACTTCTGCTGTTAAGTCAAATGCTTTGGCTTCCAATTCTGTCACAGGTACATTTTTAACTTCTCTCCGTAGTATTTTCACATATTTTGTGGTATCTTTTTCATTTGAAACAGCATCCTTATCCTTGTTTTTGCTATTATTTTTCGATGTATTACTTTGGTTTTTCTTAACAAGTGATAAAATAAGGCTGGACTTGTTCATTGCTTTCTTTGCCTTTTCCTTAAGTCCCTCATATGTTTCAAAATCATCTTTTAGATCTTTTTCCTCATGCTTCAGTTCTGCTGGTAATACTTTGCACTGCTGTTCCACTTCTTCTACTAATTTTAGACAAAGCTTCTTTCTAACATTTTCATCATCCTTTTCAGTTTTATTTTTCGTATTATTTTTACATAAACTGCTGATTGATGCATTATTTACATTTTCCAATATTGTGCAATATCCTTTCAATGCAGGTTCGCATTTGTTTTTACTTAAATTCCCTCGAAGCTCTACTTTAAGAGCATCTTCTAAAACCTTTCTTCTATAAAATGGTTCGCAATATTTTTTAAGATTTTGACAGAAAGTTTTTCCTTTGTCAAGATCAGGACAATTGGGTAAAAATCTATCGCAGTATGGATGCCATGAAGGGCAAATATTTGATGCTGATTCTGTTTTTATTTTATTTTTTTCAAGGGAATCATTAATATCTGATGCTTGCATATTTTTTTCGAATACTTCACACCTATCTTTTACATCATCTACCATCAGCTTACACGTAGCGTTTTGGAAGACACATACAAAAGAGAAACGGTCATCTCCTCTTCTAGACCATTTATGGCATTTTCTCTTTAAATATTTCGTACAGTTTTCATGAGTTTTCAAAGTATCTTTGTGTTCATCCAATAAAATCTGTTTTAAAATTTCTGTAGTCCCTAAGCGATCACATTGCTGCTTTAACGTATGGCATGGCCATTGAATCTGATTCGAATCCTTTCCTAAATCTTGGCATTTTCTCCCTAATTCTTTGCAGTCTTTGTCTGTTGGAAAATCTCGCTTTTGATCCAATTGTTTACGTAGGAAAACAGTCCTCATTTGATGGTCATGTGTAAGTAACCGTGCTGCTTTTGCAGGCTGTACACACAGAACAAATAATTCATCGTTTGAGAAACTTCCTTTGTTTTCTTTTTTTAATTTCTCACATACTTTTACTAATTCTTGTTGAAATTTCTTAAGCCAATCTTTATTTGAACCACGCAATAACCCTCGCATATTTTTTTGCAGTACTTTATTTGCTCGCGCATCAAGCCCTCTTTTGTAACATGTTGCTCTTATATTTTTACATGCATTTTCACCACTTGGACAATTTTTTTCAAAATAGAAACAATAGGACTCTAATTTCGCACATTCTTCATTGCTAAGAAATGTTGGCAATCCTTCCCATCCAACAATTTCATTACTTCCTTTTGTTGGATCAAAAAGACGATTATTTATAAGCTTTAACGTGAGAACATCACATGTTTTTTTGATATCTTCTTTCAATTTTTCACATTTTTCTGTCCCAATTGCATTAGTATTGCCTTTATCATTACACAGATCATTTAAAGCTTCATGCTCTTTAGGACTTTTGCATTTTTTTCCAAGAATTTGTTTACATTTTTTTTCCATATCACTATCTTTTCCAACCAACAAAGCTAACAAAGCTGTCGCATCTCTTAGATGATTCTTTCCAATAAAAACTCCATCCTCCTCTACCTTCTTATAAAACTCTTCCAGTTCTATGTCCTCTGCTACTGTAGGCTCTGGCTTAGTCGGATCAAAATCGGGTCCTGGTGGTATATAAACAATATTTTGTTCTTGACATTTCTCTCCCAATTCAATACATTTAATTATGTCGTTATTTTCGCAATTTCCAATGTAAAAATAACACTGTTCAAGTAATGATAAACATTTTTCTTGCAATTTGTTTTTTCCATTGAGTGCTCCTTGAACATCTGTTTTGAGAGTATTACATTTTTTTTTTCCTTCTGCTACAAGATCCTTGCACGTTTCTTCCTGGTTCAGACACGAGTTCGTTAACTCGTCACTTTCCCTCCCTAAGACTGGGCAAACTTCTTTCAGTTTTTTTTCACATATCTTTGATTCATTAAGATCACTACGAAGTGCCCTCAAAAGAACTTCTTTCGCCACTTTATCACGCTTTTTTTGATAACACTTATTTCTCAAAGCATTGCAGTTATCTTTAAGTTCTATTGGACATGCTCCCTCCAAAAATAGGCATTGTTGTTCATTCGCACAGTCTGTATCTTCTAAATTTTTAATGTCTTTCTTAATAACTGTTTTGAGTTTTTCTTTGAATGTGTTACATTTTGTTTCAATTTTGGTTTTTAACACTGTACATTTGTTTTTCATTTTCCCATTTTCACATAAACCTTCCTGCTTTACATGAATTTTCTTTAAATCTAAACTTGAATCTTTTAATGTTTCACAGTATTTTTTCAATTTTTCTTCACATTTTTGTTCTTCCATTGCATCTTTTTTTAGAATTAAAGCTAAAAGAATTTCTTCTTCTTCATATAAACTAGCTCCTTGCGCTGCTGCAGCCCGCCGCTTAACCGCCCGCGCCACCGCCCGCGCCAAGCTGTGCCTGACGGGCGTGGGTTTGCGCTGTGGTGTGTGGTTGAGTTTGAGTTTCCATTAACGTGTTTCGGTTACATGTGAGGTGTTAGTCCCATGTCTTCAAATTTGAATATTAAATTATTTCTAATTAATTATAGAGTTTTCAAGTAAATTCTGTGATGAAACAGGTATAGTGTGTGCTGAAGTATATCTTTTAGTGT